GAAATTGGCACTTAACGAGTATTCATTTAATATCGAATATATTAAAGGAAAAGAAAATAATGTAGCGGACTTTTTGAGTAGATTACAAGTAAACGCATTGGAAGATATGGACATAGACGAAACGCAAGACGATGTACAGTCTACATGTGCAACTATACATAGTGCAATAGAGGATACAAATGATCACATTTGGATCACAGAGAAACCAATTAATTTGTTTAAAAATCAAATTATTATCACTGAAGATAAAGTGAATGGTGAGGATATTCACGAAACAACCATTTTTAAAAACAAACGAATTTTCATTTATGAAAATGTGATAAATGAAAATTTCGGGGAAATTTTAAAGAATTTAAACTTTTACGGTATATTGTCCGAATGAAAGCAAATACATACAATTTCAAAGGTATTTTATTAAAACCCTTGGAAATTCAAGTATCAAGGCATTAAAAAGCAATATCTTTTTGGATGATATCGAAGACGAAGAAAAAGCCTTCGAAATCATAGAAAAAGACCATGTAAGGCTTAATCATCGCGGAATCGATGAAAATTTCAAAGAATTAAAAGATAAAATTTATATTCCAAAATTGAAACAATTAGTAACAAGGTATATAAACAATTGTGAAATTTGTCAACAAGCCAAACACGATAGACATGAAAATAAAATCAAGTATGAAAAAACAGAAATTCCGAAATCAACAAATGAAACTATACATGGAGATTTGTATATTGCGGAAAGGCAAATATTTTTTACGTTTATTGACAAATTCAGCAAACATTTGCTTATAGCACCTATAACTGATAGAAACAGTCAAACATTTATTGAAACCTTAAATTATAGGCATTCAATATTTGGAAAACCAAGTAAATACGTTTTTGATAACGAATTTAATAACTCATACAAGAGAGAATATTTTAATACTGAAGAAATCGATGTACATTTCACATCACCACTAGTCAAAACGGGTAATGGTGATATTGAAAGAGTACACGGTACAATTAATGAACACCTTCGTCTTTTAAAATCACAAAATAATAAAGAAACAATTTTAAAAAGAGTAATAAAATCGGTACATTTTTATAATAGTAGCATTCATTCTACTATAAATAAGAGACCAGTTGATTTTGTGACAAACAAAATTACAAATGAAGAATTCTCAAAAATAAGAGAACAAATAATAAAAAAAGCAAAACATGTCTATTAATAATAAAAACATAACAAGATCTGACAAAGTTTTAATCGATAAAGATGATATTTTTGTAAAAGTAGATAGGATAAGAAAAAGTGACCCGAAATATAAAAAAATAAAAGTAAAATTGAATAATGGAAAAGTGTTAGATAATAGAAATAGACACATACATCCACAGAGAATTAAGAGGAAACACAAATTTGCAAAATAATTACTTAATTAATTATACTGGTATTTTTCTTTCCATTTTCAGTCTTACTTATGTTTTTATCAACTATAATTTTGGTTGACGCACAAGATATAAGGATAACACCACTAAATTATGAAACGGGTTATACTATTCTAAAGAAAGAAAAACTGGATGTTATACAGAATTTTAGTAAGATATATCACATAATTGATTTGGAAAACTATGAAGATATAATAGCAAAATTAAATGAAGCAATTATAAACTTTAATGCTACATTTCAAAATAATAAGTCTACACGAAACTTATTATTTGCATTAAATACAGTAGAAACAAAACTAACTTCAATAAAACCATTAAGAATTAGACACAAAACAAAAGAGCCTTAATGAATATTGTAGGAAAAGGAATGAATTTTTTATTTGGCACAATGGATGATGAAGATAGACAAGAACTAAACGATCATTTAAAACTGATTGATGAAAACAATCATAATCTAATAAATGCACATAATAAACAAATTAATATTAATTTAGAATTGCAACAAAATGTTGATTTGTTAGCAAATAAAATTGAGGAAAATTTAAAAAACTCTAATTCCGTTTTAAGAAATTTGACATCATTGCAAAAGAAAGATGTAGAAGCAATAGAATTAATACAATTACAATTTGATATTAATTATTTATTAAATGAAGTAGAAAAAATTCAAGATTTAATAGCATTTTCAAGGATGGGAATACTAGGAAGAAATGTATTAACTAACAAGGAAATTACTAAATTTAATGTAAATAATAAAAAATTAAGATATATAAAGAGTAATGTTATTGAAATTAAAAAGAATTTAATCGTTGTTATAATGATACCACAATTTTGCAAAGAAGATTATTTTAAAATCGAAATCTTATCAATACCAAATAAAGCTCAAAAAGAGGTAAATATAGATAAACAAAACTATATAACAGATACAGAAAATGTTTTTGATTTTAATGATGAAATTCTTTTTAAAGGAAGACTAAAATTAAGTAATAAATGTATTCAAAATTTGTTTAAAAGCAAATTCAATTTTTGTACTAGTAGAACAAATAAGGAAACAGAAATCAGAGAAATAGAAAAAGGAACTTTGTTTACAAAAAATTTACAGAAAATTAAATTGAAACATGATTGTAACAAAATGAATTATGAAATTCAAGGAAATAACATTATAGAATTTAAAAATTGTACACTTAGTATAGAAGATAATATTTACGAAAATGTAGATAACATATTTTATAACTTAGTAATATTACCATTTTATGATGAAATGAATATAAGCATAAATATAAATAATTTGGAAGAAATACATTTAAAAAATATAGAGAACACAGAAGAAATCAAAGAATTAAGGTACAATCACAAAAATAATGTTAATTTTTCAAATCTCACTAACAGTAGTTTTTGTACTCTTATTAGTAATCTTACTAACGAAATATTGTATAGAAAGTAAGAATTATTGTAAAAGAGTGCAGAGGGAAGATTCGACGCACCAAGTGATTGAACTTCAGGAGCAGTTCAAATCTAAGGGGGGAGTAGTTACACATTCAACCACCACACTCCCAACGTCATCACCAATATCTCCAATACCAACAACAACAACTACAACAAACTCTATTAGTCCGATATTCAAGTCAATGGACACCGACGATACCAATTATAAACATACTTAATTCGACACCACACAATGCACAGTAGCGGCCAACGTACACACATACATACATACATGCACCGGCTACATAAATTTGAGACTACACAATGCATAAACGTACATACACATACATACGTACATGTGTACATGTTTATTGCAAGCATAAGTAAGATCAAGTGAAGCAGCGCGCACCTCACGCCTCATCTGCAATTAAAAGTAAATCACCGGAGTAACATAAGTACTCATAAACCTTACTCCACTGCAAGTGTTAAGTAGCGTGAAATAGCTAAGAATTAATGTTTGCATTCCAAAAGATGAAATTGGAGTGATCGAATTCTGATTGGCCAAATTCGATCATGCCACTCCTGGAATAAGGTGATAAAAGAGGAATTTGCAAACTTTGCAAATGAGTTCTATTTCTAAAGTGAAAGTGACCAGTTCCATTAGTGGTTCCTGTTCCGTATCCAGCTCTAGGATTGCAGTGCTCCCGTTGTTCCTGATAGCAAGTATAATAATAACCAACTCATAATTTAATTCTTCCCTCTGCAGCTCTTATTTATTAGAAAACCAATTTAATAGATAAAAACCACGATTTGTAATATAAAGAAAGAATATCTTTTATTTTAAAATAGGATCACAACGTGATTCTATTATTATATGTAGTGGTTAGAGAGTTAATATCTGAAGTGGTATTCTCTCTTTTTGATACCGGTAGTCCGGTTAGTTTTGTAAAGGAGTCGATGGTTCCAAAACAGTTGGTATAGGAGCATGCCGGTGAAGATTTATGCAAGTATAAAGACATCGGAGGAAAAAAATAACTGTACTTTTTAAAATTACATGTATAATTTTCTAATAAAAAGAGTGAAATTGAATTGAATCCCACTTATTCCGCTATTGTGTTGGTAAAAAAGAAAAATGGGAAAATACGAATGTGTGTTGATTATCGGGCACTTAAAAAATTAACAGTTAGTAAGGGGAACTACCCCTTACCATTAATTGAAGACTGCATTGATTGCACAGCTCCACAAAAAAAAATTAAAATTAATTCTTCCTGTTACCAGACCATTATTTTTATGTTTTTTTGATCACTGAATCAAAAACCGACGTCCATTCAACCCCATCACGTCAAGGTTTTTCATAACCTTTTATTGGCTTTTCCGGGAGTGGAGTGAAAAGCAGTTCAAGAGCAGGATAAGGGCATTGAGTCAATACGAAATCGTTTACAGAATCAAGAAGTAAAAGATTACGAACTAGTGGATGGACTTGTTTATAGGAAAAACCCGGCAGGTAAAAGTCTTCTCTATATACCTTACGAAATGGAGGAGAATGTTATACGTTTGATACACGAGAAGATGGCTCACCTGTCAGTTGACAGTTGTTTTTGCATTTGTAAAGCGATGGTCAAAAGAGTTCAAAGATCCTTATGTTACAAAAGCTCTGTTTACCACTTTAGTTAGACCTATACTAGAATACGGATATATTGTTTGGAATCCCCGCTACCAAGTTCATTCAGAGAGGATTGAATCAATTCAAAAACAATTCTTGCTTTTTGCATTGCGTGATTTTAACTGGGATTCAGATTACAATCTCCCCCCTTACACAAGTCGTCTAAAGCTCATAAATTTGCCTACACTCGCAAGTCGCAGAGAAATGCTAGGTATAATATTTATTGTAAAACTAATGACAGGCTTGATTAATAGCCCGGCCCTCCTGGCTGAGGTAAATTTTAATGTTCCCTTTGGAGTGTCAGGACACTTTCGACCTCTGTTTTTGAAGCCATGCTAAACTAATTTTGAACTAAACGAATTATTCCGTTGTTTATGTCAAGATTTTAACTTTCATTCCAGCACGTTTGATATATCGGACTCGATTTTTACTATAAAGAAAACTATCATTTCCACTCTCAATAATTTAGATACTAGCTTTAGCATATCCAATCAGCTGATGAATTTGATTCTATAGCTGCATACTATGCACATATGTAGTATGTTAAAAGTGTAGTAGAATGAAAATGCACGTCGAAGTTATTGAATCACCCTATTGTAACGATTTTGACATAATACAAATGTAAAATAGCTATCCAAGAACATAGTCAGTTATACATACAATTCCAAAAATTCTATTCAATATTTAAAAGTGTACACCTAAAATTATGCAACATTAGAAGCAAAGTGTAATCCAATAATTCAATTAAAAGGCTGGATTTTATTGCCCTAATTCTCAACATCTTACTAGTTTATAAGCAGAGTATTCATTCAGTGCATCCTATACTCGTATATTACTCGTAACAATAATAAAACAAAAAACTTTCATAAACTCTGCTTGAGTTCGGCCATCATCTCCAGTATTTGCGGATCAATGGCCAAGCTCAAATCATCAAAATTGTCATCCGGCCGCACAGTTGACACGCTTGGCGCAGCACGAACCGCGGCACTTAGAAAATTTCGCTTTTCAATATAACATAAATTATCTTCGAAGCTCAAACATTTACATTGAAATGGTGTTGAGAATTCGAAAAATAATAGTAAAGCTTGTGCGCACAAGGTGTGAAGTGTGCGATATGAGCTTTTCGAAATTAATGCACGTTGTTTGCGCTGTTCCCAGGTGTTGTAGTGAAATTCACCCAGATATTGCAACACAAGCAACAACTCTTTAAACAGCGAAGGAGAGAGACGCGGTAGAAGCGCCGAGAAAATATCGCCACTCACAACAGTTCTCTGATGCAGCGTGCGAATTTTCGCTTGCAAATATGGCTGACCAATGCTGGTGCATTGCAACTCATAGTGGGCAATATTCTCTGCTGACACTTGACTAAAATAGTCAAATTTTTCTAATCTACGAAAGAGAAATGGCTTTAGACGCTGCGAGGGTCTCATGCGACAATTGCCTTTTGGTGAGGATAGTGGTGTTAATACTTTGGGTGACGGTGACGGTGACGATGGTGCCACCATAGAGTAATTGTGCTCTTCTCTAACATTTACCTGCAACATTGCGATTGTGTGAAGTGCGTCGTACACTTTTGGTGCCAGTGCGGGATTGTGCTCTGCTTTATCATTTACCTGGTATATATCGTTTGTGTAATGAGGTTTCACAGTGGATTTTACTGAGGATGATGATGTTGATGATGAGGATAGTGGCGGTATTGCTATGGAAAAGGTTTGCTCTTCAATGGGATTATCGCGCAGCACTTCGGTTATACTTATACAATGTGGTTGTAAATAAAATGTGTGCTCCGGTGTGACTGAGTATTGTGTTTGATTTGTTGCATGCTCTTCCGCTCGCTCACCCACCTGTGTAACCAGCAGATTAGGAGATTGCTTTTCCAGCAGCTGTGTAATCTGCTGTTGCTGTTGTTGTCGTTGGTCACAATCGCGCGGCGCCTATATAAGAAGGAGAGTAGTGTAAGCACAACAGCATTGTTACGAGTTATATTTGATTGATTTTTTATTTATTGGACAATCGTTTCGTGCGCAAGATCGGGAGAGTGAGAATGGTGTTTTTTTTTCTTTACTGCCTGTTAGTGATAAGAAATAATTATGTCTCATAGGACATGACAGTTGATAAACCAACTAGGATTAGCGGGTTGACACTTGATTTTAAAATATGCCACTGAAATGGCCAACAGCAGCCGAGAAATTCGTTGGAAGAAGCATTTAGTAAGAGACTTCGACTTCCAAACTTCTCTCTAGCCCTTTAGGTTATCCAAAAATGTTTTTCATTTGCGATCACATTGAAAATCTGCAAAGTGTTTTACAAGGCGGCATATTATGCCGATTGAGAGTAATCTCGGAATACTCTCTTTAGAGATTAGTCGCACAATTTTTTGCAGGGAATGCTCCACATAATAAACACACCGACAAACATACGGCTGAACTACAAAACGGACACTGATAATTGCGCTCACCTATATAGACACTTACAGGTCTATTCTGCACGTTACCAAAGATTTTATAAACGGACAATTTTATTACCAAAAAATTTTACCAGTTCTTGTCACCGCGATTCTAGTTACGTTGGTAATGCAGTTAAAATATTCAGCAATTCAGCTATGAAGAATTGTGGAAATTCTGGCATTGCATATTTCACGGGGCTTATGAGATGGCAACACAACTTACCGGTTACAAGAGTACACAGAATTCGAAAAGGGCTTAAAATTTGACAGGAACTTAATTTTTTTAATATTAAACAAAACAAATGGAGAAGAGATGTGTGTTGAGTGCAAAATAACAGAGGTGAATTTCAGAGCAGAGGCAACATCAGCAGTACCGCCTGAGCGCGGTATCCACTTGCCGCCAGACCAGCGGAAACAAAGCAGTACCGCCATAGCGCGGTCTTAACCGCCATATGAGTTACGTTAACTCCAATGTCAACAGTTGCCAAAAGCCTACAAAGCGCTGTCAAATAGAGATTTCGGCTATTCGAGCAAGGAAAGTAAAGCTGCCACTAGGCCAACTTTCATAAATTTTAGTAGATTTTTTAGTAGCAAGCAAAGCAAGCGTGCATTGGGTCAATCCCTTAAGATTTTAGTGACAAACCTACCCGTCTGAAAGAAAGAACCCTTCTACATGAATCCTTGAGTTAACAATACAAATTTTGAACCAATAAAAGAAAGAACTCTTCCAAAAGGAAAAAATAAACTTATCTATATTGCAAGATACGTGAATATTCCAGGCATTGACCACGATGAATAGTGTAGTTTCAAAAAATGGAATCCAGAATGAACGAAATTATTTTTGAAGAAATCTGACAATCAAATTGACGATATTCCAATCGAGCTGTTCGGTCTCAGTCCTAGACACACAGTCCTTATGTCTGGATGTACATTTAACCCAACAGTAAAGCATGTAGCAATCACTATGACCCATGACTGTTGCAATAAACTTGGCAATGCAAGGAATAATGAAGTATCAGAGCCCATGGAAGCAGACCTTTCAACAATATATTTAAGCTAGTGCCAGGGTATTCCGAAATAGCGGTGCTGATAGCCGGATCGAAAAAGCCAAACGATGCTGAAATGCAACAAAGAGGCAGAAACTGGAGCAGCAGTCGTTCCAGAATGAAAATAAAGATACCTAGGACAGATTACATCGAAACTGGCGACAGTGCAACGAGTACCACAGAGGATGGATACAAGTAAGTCAGGCGTAATTTACAATACTATCCATTAGTGACCCTATATTGTATATTTAAACAAACACTCCAATAAGCGCATCAAAGATTATGACCGCCTTAAAAATCAAGGATTTGAAATATGTAGGTTAGGACAGGTGCAAACTAACGTTCACAAATGCAGCAGCAGCTAACACTTTTCGCAGAAACCTAAAATTGTTGCTCACTGCGTGACAAAAATTTGAATAATTTTTGGCATACCAATTGTCATATCTGAAACCGAATTAACATGCGGAATTAAGTCACTTATTCCGGTGGTGAAAGTCATCAAGGTTATACTTCGAATACATTAAGATTCAAGTAAAACACTTCGTCTCATTCGCTCAATGCTATAGGAGCTACAAATTCAACCACTTCGCACAGTATTGCAAAAGAAGCCAAAAAGGATATCAACAATCAAAACTGCACTGAGCTGCCATTGCTTTCTGGCACTAGTCCATTTTCAAACCACTTCTTGAAAAACATGCGCAAGTACAACTCTTGGTTTCAAATGACTTCATTTGGGGCAACGAATGACGGTTACATGCCAACATTCAAAGTTCAAGGCCAGATATACCACAAAATCGATTCTTTGCTCCCTGTGACACAACAAGATGCAAAATTTCTGTAAATTTATTGCACTGCAAATGATGAACTAGAACTTGAACACCGTTGCAGGCAATGTTCCATGAACGGAACAGTTCCATTCATCTCGCACTCTACGGTGAAAGTTTCGAGCGGGCCGTTGATGAAACGCTTCAAAATGTTTTTGAATTGGATGCCTGCAGTGAAGCCATAGCTGCGACAAAAGTGTTTCCGTCTTATAAAATGGGATTTGTAAAGCACTTGTCCATATCCCAACAACGAAATTCGAAATCAAAAGCTAACAAATGGAGCAAACAAATTTTACTTGGATGAGACGAATAAGCTCAAGCTGGCTTCTTATAAAGGTATTTCCCAGTAGATCAGAGGTGTTAAGTATTTCAAATACAATCACAAAATAAAAAAGAAATCAGAGATAAGTTATGCAAAAGAAATCTGAGATATATTATGTGCGGTAAGTAAATCTCAATGAAAAGATTTCTCATGTAATGCGAATGTTGAAGAAGAAGAAATACCAAAGAGGACTCGTATCTCAATTTGAGCGTCTCATAACTGAATTGATCAAGATTACCCAAAAAAATTTCATTGAAAACAATAACACCAAAATTTTTTACGTCATACAGTGTTTGAAAAGTCAGCCAGTCGAAACAATAACAGCCAACAGAGATGAGACTGAGATTAGTGTTTCACTCGACCCATCTGTACAAAATAAAGCTACTCGCACATCACTACATGTCTATTTGAACTTTTTAGAACATTACGAAATAGCTAGAGCATAACAAATGTTAGAAGCTTTTAGTATCTATTATCCCTTTGATGGATGCCTTCTACGCCAGAGCCGTCACCTGGGTTGAGAGCGTAACCTGCAATCGTGGTAAGCACTTAACCAAAATCATTCAACCTTGTTTTTTCCATATCCTTTACTTATGATGGCTGTTATACGAACAATAGGGACATCAGGGCCCGAATCAAGGCTCTCGTGAACAAATGGCCGGTCGAATAGAGGAAAATTTCGATTCATGACACTCGATTCGAAAGGTATCGAAATTTCTTCGATTATTAGTCGGTTAATTAGTCTTCACCAAATTTTCAAACGTAAACAAAAATTTCATAATCACTTGGTAATCAGTAAAAGAATGAGTCCATCAGTATTTTTTATTGGAGCTCTTCTGATACTGGGGATGAGGTCAATCAAATGCAAATACGAACATGAACCAATTAGAACAGATCTGACCGGTTGAGAAGCAGCCATTTGTAATAGCAATTGAGAAAAAAGCGTGTGGCGTTCGTAATGTTGAAGCTTGCTATTTCTGTTGTGCTTCTTTCTTTATGTGTATTTTGTCGGTGGTTTATTTCAGTGATTTTTAAGCGATTTTCAATAAATTTTTTGTGCAAAGGTATTTAAAATGAAGTGCGCGGTGAGTGGTGGCAAAAACACGCACAAAATAATAATTTGGTTAGCACAAACATATGCTGCAAAATTGCTTGCATTTTTTTCTTTATGCTTCGTCTTCATATGCTTTGTTTACTTTTCATAGAAAATAACATGGCGCCGAAATTACAAATGTCAGCCAGAAAATTACGTATTTTTTTGCTTCATCTTGTCAGATCTCGTGTAGTTGGATCATGAAATACGAAGAATTACGTGAAAAAAGTAATCCTTTATGTTAACCAGCGGCAGCGTAAGTTTTAACGATTTAAAATATTTTAGTACATTTTAGTTTAAATATACGAAAAAAAATTACATAAATAAGGCTAAATAGAGTTATAAATAAAAATTACAAGGATAAAGCTGGAGGTGTTGAGTAATCTTATCTAGCGAATTATTTAATCAAGGGCTAATTGTAGGGAAAGCCATTGGAGGATCGTACTAACTACCGAATGTCAAATCTCCGTGTACTAATCTGCCTCTGTGCAACTGCACAAGCATATGTCGCATTCAGCCTAGATTCTCCTGTTCTAACTGTACCAGATGGGTACGGTTAGATAGTGAACGGACACTGGTAAACATGATCGACTTGACGCGCTATGAGAAAATCTTAAATCGTCTGAGCTACGAAACCTCTAGGATGAACGAGACCAACGCTATCACTGACGTCATCAACTATCAGTTGGAGAAAACTCAAACTCAACTCGACGAGCTGAAGGGCCTTAAGCCTAAAAGACCCACGTGTTCAATCAATTGGATTGCGTCAGCCTGGAAGTGGATTCACCTGACGCCTTAGACTGGGTTGAAGTCCTGCGGAGCCAAGACGCATTAGTAATCAATAACAACCTTCAATATAAGGTAAACTCTGAAATATTCAAGAACACTCAAGAACTATTACGGGTTCTCAACGGAATTGCAACGGCCACAAATGAGATTCTGGGACGCAACAACCTGCCAAAATTTTCACAGGAGATAGAGAGCAAAGTAGCGATCCTTAAGGAAGACATTAATGAGTTGATTCGAGCATGCCAAATGGCTAAAGCAGGAAATACATCAACTAATAAGCGAAATCGAAGTCCTTCCGTGCAGCAACGTCAACGAAGCCATTGAATATAGTGATACATCAATCTACACCAACGGCACTCTTCTACTATACATTTTATTGTAGGGTAATTAAACTGTACTTAAAAATTAAAACTA